GTAGCATGCAGTACTCTGGTGCATGTTATACACTGCTCCATGGAGTCACAGTTTTAATTCACAAAAATGTTTACCTTGTTCTGAAAAATGAAATAAGAGTTGTTAGGTGCCGATGACAAAACCAGTTAAAAACATTTGACACACTGGTACTGTTCCTGCAAACCTGAGATAAAATGTCCATACAATTAAGCTCACAAACAAAACAGTAAATCATGGTAGTTTAAATTTTCCACCTACATCTTTTGAGAAACAGATAATTCCAGTTAATCATTATGCTACAAAAGCTCTGTTACAGCACCCTGAACCAACCAACTTGGATCGTAGACTGATGCTCCAAGCAATTAACTTTGTACATTAAGCAGTTTGTTGACTGCCTTGATTAAGTGTTTAGTGCAAACAAAGGTACATGATTCAGGGGCGGATCCCTGATTTGGAAGAGGGGGGTTCAAAACGTTTCCAAAAATACCCAAAATGAAAGGGGGTCCAGGGGTCCTCCCATGGAAAATTTCCCCCTTGAATCTGCCACTGTATAGGGAATCCTTTAACGCTCAGGTAACCTAGGGTTTTAAAACAAATACCGTATAGACCTATACTCACGTATAAACGAGGCTTAAAATAGCAAACTACGATCGAAAAAAGGGGGTCGTCTTATACGCACGACATTCAGATTTGATTTTTATATTTATATATTTATGTTCGTCTTATGTGCAAATGTTCGTCTTATGTGCGGATCGTCCGTAAATCTGGTTTTCTACTAGACGAATTTATTCACGCGAATCCAAAGCGTCGGCTTATGCACATGCGAACATGCTTAACACGCGAACTTACTACTGCAATGAAGCAACTAAATGTTGTATCAATGAAAGCAATTTTAAATATGGGAAAATACGATTTTGGTGGTGAAGATTTAAAAAATCATAAAATGGTATTATTTGGAAGATTACCCTTGCATTTGCCTCCATTTATCCAGCTAGACGCAGTATACAGGACCACAAAAAATTAGGAATTCCGACCATGAAACAGGGAGTCGTCTTATACGCCAGACATACAAATATCAACCAAAAATCTTCTAAAACTCGGGGGTTGTCTTATACACGGGTCACCTTATAGGACCTACGCGAGTGTATAGCGGTATTATTACGGAACCCATGCGGAAGTTCGGGTTCTCGTTACATTTTAAACGGTTGGTTGTAACAATAAACTCCAAGACTGTTTGCGACTACTAGATTCTACAAGTGCGTGGTTGGCTGGGTTGTTTTGGTCGGAAAAGAGAAATTTTCTCTGTGAATTGATTCTTGAACGAGATAAAGAAAGCTCCCTAATGACTCAAGCTACTGTATACCGTTATTATATTTTTAATAAAACCAATTTCTTCTAATTTCAAATACATTTTCCCCTGATTTTGTGATAATTCGTTATCACGCAAGTGCTAAATGCGTGACACATTTATGACCTCGCATGTGTTTCTGCAAAATGCGTTTCATCCAAAATCACTTTGAAATGCGGGACGGTTGGTAACTATGGCATAGATAACTGCCGGGCCCTAGGTAAAATTGGTAAAAATGCACCTGATCGGACATAGAGACAGAGCCTCTAGTGGGTACAGATACGGTATGGCATTAACGCTCAGAAATATCTAAAAAATATTTTGTTAAAAAAATTAAAGAATATTGAGAACAAACTATGGTCAAGTCATGTTATCGTTTAGGGCCTATTAAGCATTTCATGAATCTATGATATATTATAATATTGACAACATCATCAATAGAACATATAGGTGGAATTGTGTCCAACCCGTCGTGAAAATGTACTGAATACTCAGTACATGTGAAAACACTAATAGTGCAAAAATAGTACTCGCTGCTTACTTTGGCTCGAATTCAACCCTGGCCATCAGGTGCAAGCTCGGTGGTCTAAAGGCATGATGCCAGGCTAGTGATCTGGAGAATGTGGGTTCGAGTCCCACTGGAGAACAACTTGCAAATATATTTTGCAAGTGTTTTCACACGCACTGAGTATTCAGTTCATTACAGTACAGGTTGGGCAAAATTACACATATAGGCCCCCCTAATTGATTCTCCTGGCGCAAATCCAGTTACCATTCAATAATAGAACAGTCATCGACCTACTTGCAGTGAAGTGAATCTAAAATGTATTCATGAAGTTATGATGATCTGAATTGTTTGAAAACGTACACAATAATAGTTGAAGCAACTTTAAAATACCAAAAACACAAATGTGCGTGACGATATTGTATTGCTTTAGAAATGTGATTTCAAAAAGTGTATTAGTGCATCACGCACTGAGTAGGCCTATTGAATACATATTCACACAGGTTGGGCAAAATACATAAAGGCCCCCTAATTGATTCTCCTGACGCAAATCCAGGTATTGTCTATTCCATCACGATAATAACAATTACCATTCAATAATACAACATTCATCAACCTACTTGCAGTGAAGTGAATCTAAAATGTATTTATGAAGTTATGATGATCTGAAGTGCTTAAAAACGTACACAATAATAGTTGAACCAACTTTAAAATACCACAAATACAAATGTGCGTGACGATATTGTATTGCTTTAGAAATGTGATTTCAAAAAGTATATTAGTCCATTGTATACGTAAGGGCTTGTATTGTTGTTGTTTTTTTATTTGCAGCGTTTGGTAAATAGGTAGGCCTAATAGGTAAATTGTAATGAATATAATCAATAACTATAGCCTCTAAAACCTAATATTATTGAAGGGTCCTTTTAAAGTTTGAATAGGATTTTTTTAAAGTTAAATTTTTAGATCATTATACCTATTGAATGAGCCCCCAATAGCCCCGAGCCCCAGTGCTGTGCACTGCCCATACCTACGCCACTGGACCTGAGTATTATTAGTGGTTACATAACGTTTGCTATGCACTGTATCATGTGCTATAGAAGTGGAAGAACCATAATGTATTGGGAATGTACCGTACCTCTCTCTCTGGTAGGGCCTACAGTACAATCAGTTTAAAAGTGTAAGGTATAGGATAGTGTGGATTTTTAAACATTTTTCTAATGGTAATGTTCGAAATAAGTGTCAAGGAAAGTAAGTATGATTGTTGGGAAAAATTTTATTTTGAATTCTCACCCTGACCTTCGCTTGGGCGAAGTGGGCGAAGGTCTGGATCCGCGTCTAGTTAGCATGAATTTTGTAAGCCAGGACCCATAGTGTTTTCTTACGTTTCTTCACAGAGGGGGGGGGGAACGAACCCCCACCCCCTGAACCCTCTAGATCCGCCACTGTGATTAGAATCAAATATAGAATTTAAGCTAACAAAAACAACACATCCAAAACAAGTCTGTTATATTAGGCCTGTATTGAAAAAAAAAATGTAAATTCAAAAATTCGGCCAAATTCGGCCGAATATAGTTTGGCCGTGACTTTTCAAACGTTATGGCCAGGCAAATTTTTATACGGCCAGATTTGAGGAATCTGGCCGTCAAAAAGGCCAAATGGCAACCCTGAGTAGGATAAGGCTAGCGCGACATGCAGACGTTGGTACGAGTAGGTTAGTCTACAAACGTCGCCTAAAGTAATTGATTTTACCCGGCAGAACAAAAGAAGGAAACTCCATTTTTCAGTCGTCCTAGGCACTCGTTTTTTGACAAACAATGACCTTTCAGAGGTCAAATTGCTGTCAAGAATATGAATTGGCTGCTTCGCAGCAATAATGATAATAAAAAAATAACTTTACATAGGGAAAGCTAATCTAATTCATAAATAATAATAATAATAGGCTTAATAATAATAACAATAATACAATTAATCGTAAACATGATATAACTTTCTTTGATTTTTATATATACATATAAATATATATATATATATACATATATATTTGTCAACTAATCCCGCCAATGACAAAGGAGTTGTTTGGTATCCAAACACCTACCCAATGCCAATAAAATGTTTAAAACACTCTTTAATACCAATAAATCGATTAAAAAAGTCGGTCATTTTGAATTTCAAAATGGAGGCCCAAGGAGTGAATGAAAAAACTGGCACCCCCTTTTTTCTTAATCAGTAGTGTTTTTTGAGTTGTTTTAATATAATTGCCAAGAATCTACCCAAAATTTTGCTTTTTCTACATAAGGCAACAGACTACTGTCTGCAATAAGAGAATGCCAACAAAGCTAAAGAGCCAAGTATACAAAACAATGGCCAGACCAGTGGTACTGTACAGGGCTGAGACATGGGCCATCAAGGAACTACTGTACAGACGAAGAAGCTGGAGGTTGCTGAGATGAGGCAAGAGCGATCCATGGAGTTTAAATACACTGAAAGACCGAATGAAAAATGAGGAGATTCTGAAGAAGACAAACGTGATACTGTACATTGTGGAGATAAAATCCAAGAGTGCAGACTGAGATGGTACGAGATGGGAAGAGGTTGATATGATAAGATGGGCAGCAGAAAGAGTTGAAAATGGAAGCAAACCAAGAAAGAGATGGATATACTGCATCAGACAAGATGGAAGATTGGTGGAGCTAGAAGCAGTAACAGATCTCACCAAACAAACGGGATGATGAATTAAAAATGAAATTTTGTGTTACAAGACCAACCATTTTATTTGCCTTGGAAACTGACTTATTTATGTGTTCCTTAAAAAAGGTCAATTCACTATAAAAAAAAATATGCCAAGATCCTTTTCAGATAGCATTACATAATTTTTATTCAGATTAGTCTACTAAGGCCTCAATGTTCAATCTGAATTAGAATTTTATAAAAAAATTATAATGGGACATATCAATATTTATTTATTTATTTATTTATTTATTTAAGCTTTCTTTACCAGGGTGTAACCATTCAGAGACTAACACTGCTTTCCAAGGAAGCCCTGGTACATACAGTAATTGTAACAAAAATAATATACAGAAAACTATGTTTATATCTATCAATGACCATTGCTTACTTTAAAACTACTGTATCTCTGTTTTATTTTTATAATTCAAATTTTATTTTCAGCAATGAATTGAAAATTTCCAAAGCCATTTTAGATCGGTTATTGGAATGTCTTGAACCCGATGTCATATACTCACAGTTCCGAGATGAAATATTATCAGGCTTATGTCATCAAGATGATGATATTATGATACTGTGCTTAACTCAGGTGATTGTTTCTAGTGTATTTGTATAATTAAGAAACAAAAGTAAGTTAAAATAAATTATAATAAATTAAAATTCAGTTCAATTCAATTTTATTAGCTACTAGTGCCATCAAGGGCAAACATCAACAATTATTTACAATAATTATATACAATAAATACAAAACAAGTAATGCAATTATTAAATAAAGGGTTTTTTAAACTAATGGACCAATTCTATTGATGTTAAATTAAAGTATGGCTTGCTTAATATCAAATGTGGTGCAGAATCGGTCAATGTTTACAGTATAACTTAGGAATAAATTAAATTTTCCTTTTTCAAATTGAAATTTGTTATGTTTACAGTAATTGAGGATCAAAAAAGTGAAGTTATAGCTTACCATATTGAATTAAAAATCTACATTTTATCCTCAAAACAACATATGATTTTTTATTCCAAAATAAAATTGTTAACTTCATATGGTTCTTTAAATAGGTTTCTTTAGTTGTTTACTTATCATATATTATAAAAACAAAAAAATATGGTTAAATTATTCATTGTATTGAAAGTTTAGTTCAAGAAGGTGTACATCTAAAGAAAAAATAATCTGCTAATAAACTCAAGTCAGACATTCTGGCCAAATATGGAGAAATTTAAATCATTTACCTTCCAAATATGAAAAAATTTAATTCATTACCTTCCAAATATTGAAAATTTTAATTCATTACCTTCCAAATATGGAAAAATTTAATTCATAACTTCCCAAATATGGAAAAATTTAATTCATTACCTTCCTAATATTGAAAAATTTAATTCAGTACCTTCCAAATATGGAAAAATTTAATTCATAACTTTCCAAATATGGAAAAATTTAATTAATTACCTTCCTAATATAGAAAAATTTAATTCATTACCTTCCAAATATGGAAAAATTTAATTCATAAATTCCCAAATATGGAAAAATTTAATTCATTACCTTCCTAATATAGAAAAATTTAATTCATTACCTTCCAAATATGGAAAAATTAATTCATTAGTATCCGAGTTATAAACATTAGTATTCACGTACTTGCTATCTTGAGAAAAAGATGCACTGAAAAATACCAATGTGATTATTTCTTATACAGTTGAACTCGCCTAATTCAAATCCAAAATGGCATTGAAAAATTGTTTGACTTAAATAAAATTTGACTAACAGATTGTTAATTAATGGAAAACACAACAACTTGGCATGTAAAATAGGATCGACTTTGAAATTATTCGAGTTAGGTAAAGTCAACTTAGGCAAGTTTAATTTGAAGAACTGATAGAAGTATTGAGTGAAATTGACAGAAAGTGTTAGCTAACTATTAAAAAAAAAAATTATATAAACCTATGTTTATGTACAACAATGGATGTGGTTCATACTTGGTGGATAATCTACATATTTTTAAATATATGTGTATGATAATTTTGATTTCTGTCTTTTTCCATAAGATTAAAAGATATGTAAACTGTGGGGATGCTATAGATAACCTAATCTGTGACATAGGTCTTCTTCAAGCAGTCATCCGGTGTCTAGGAGTAGAAAGTCTCGCAGTTGCTAAGGTTGCCAGCAGTATATTAAGTGCAGTTGGAAATTATCCTGTAGGAATAGGAGTTATGTTTGCAAATCCACTGCTGGAAGAATTTAAGGAAAATATGAAGAAGACTGATGTTGTACGTTACAGAGTATATGATGTGAGCAAATATTTAAATTTATTTATGTTTAATATTACCTGTATTACAGGTAATATCAGGTCACTACTGTTACAAAAGTCTTAGGGCCACTTTTATCATGCATCATCATCATACATCATCATCTTCATCTCCAATCATCATCAATATCTTCGTCATTCCAATCATCATCAATATCTTAATCATTCCAATCACCATCATCTCAATCATCATCATTAATGTCATCATCCTCCTCCTCATCATCATGATCTATATGCCCATTAATCTTAAATATAGTATTCAGAGCCACAGACCATTTTGGTTCTGCATTCATTATTTACACACAATGATTCTGTTTCATGAATTTATTATTTCCACACAATGATTCTGTTTCAGGTAGACATAACATTCTAATCAACACTAGAGATTTAACCAAACCTAAAAAAATACAATATCTGCTGGTTCTCCTACTCACTCTTAAAACACTACAAATTGCACAAAATATATGAAAAACGTTACCACCTAAACTGTACATCTTGGTTCCTTTGTGTCTGTTGTTTCTATTTCCGTTGATGATGTAGTATAAGAGCTAAAAAATGAAAAATCCAATTCCATGTAACTGTAACATACAATTAAAATTGTGAACGAGAAAAATATTATCCTTGTTAGTTAACGGACAGTAATATAGTACATTATTTTTTGTATTTGTTTGCATTGACCCTTAAATTGGCTGGTTATGTTTTTTTTGTAGTAAAATATCTGTAACTCAGGGAAAACAATTTAAATTTGTTTTTTCAATCTGTTTATGGTAAGTCAATAACTTACCTAATACTTCTTTAAAATCAGCTACTCAACATTCTAATTTCAATTTTAAATTTTATACATATTTTTAGGCTAACAGTACATCACATTTATAGTCTGGTAATATTAAATTAAATTAATTCTTTAAAAAATTTCAGGTAGTCACAAGCATTGCTGTCTCTAATCCTGATGCTTTTGATAATGGCAACCTTTCTGATATTCTCCACATGCTCATGTCAGAGGTCACAAAAGATGATATACTTGTGCAAATGAACAGCATTGAGATGATAAGTTCGTTGGCAGTTACTAAGAATGGTCTAAGCTACCTTGAAAAACATGGAATTGTTGGTAAAATGGAGGAGATGATTGAGTCAAGTGAATCTAATCCTCTAGTTAATCTGTTAATGCCAGGTGTTTTTTTTTTGTTGTTTTTTTGTTTTAACAAACTCTTGAACTCTTGATCTACACTATTATCTTTATGGGAATTATGGCAAACTGTCTTTAAGCTTGGGGAAAGCTTCTTTTTGGTTCCTATAAAAATAGGAACCTGTGGCTACGTTCAGACTTGAAGATATAACCCAGTCTTACGTTACTGCATGGCTCAAGGTTAAGCCCGGCTTAACTTTGCCAAGCGTTCAGACTAGCTGGATTACCCAGATGTGAGCTTCAATCCAATGGCCACCTATCTTAAAATACTCATAAATGTAATAGTAGCCTACTGTGTAGATCACATGGTAGTTACCTTCATAATTATTACTAGTATTATTATTTATCCAAATGTATGCTTTTGTATATTTACATATTTGTTTAATGCAATTTTTATTCAGCATTGATCAAGTTTTTTGGGAGTCTGGCATGTCATGATCCAAAGGAAATTTGTGAAAAACACCGTACTTTCCTAAAGACTACATTTGATTTACTTGGAACTGAAGATGCTGTCGTGCGAGGTGTTGTTGTTGACACAATTGGTATCATTGCATCATCGTTAGAAGGGAAATTTGCTCTTAATAAGCAAGGTGAGAGTATCATGTTTTCATGTTATCATGTTATAGTAGGGGGAAAACTGTGGGGACCCCTTCCTGAAAAAGCTTGCACCATCCAGGCACGCCTCTCTGAGTAAAAGCATTATGCTCAAGTACTGTAGTTCCAGATGGCCCTCTTAATCTTCGATTTCCCCCCCCCTTCCCCTTTGAACTTAAATTTTGCACCCCCACCCATTAGTTTTCTTTTTAAATTTAATTTATTTGTTCATTTTAGCATGGTACCAGAAAGCCTTTTAAAAACTTTAACCAGGCTCTCTATCAGGGTAATGGCTGTGAATGCAAAAAAAAAACGTGATAGGCTTTGATACTGTAGATAACGTATTGAAATTTTTTTGATTTTTTAATAATTATTCTATAATAAGGTGAGTGCATGAGAGATGTCATGAAGCAACTGGGTCACATGATCAAACATCCACCAATCGAAGTGAAGAAACGGGCTCTAATTTGTCTTGTCAATATTTTCAGCATCGCAGTAAGTAATCATATTAAATAAATTCATATTACAACTTTAGAATAATAACAACTAAATGTATCATTTAGATGAAAATATATTAATATTACTTTGTCATAATGTAACTATACCATAATAACATAATACAGTTCACCTTCCAATTCAGAACCACTCTAATTACAAGACCAGTTATTCAAAGTACCATCTGATCACCTATCTCTTCACACTAATCTTACCCTTCTGAAGCCCCTCTAATTTGAGACCGTGGTAAAATGATCTGTAATACAAGACCACTTTTTAGAAAAAAAGAAAATTAACCAGACAAGTTTTAAACATCAAATGCACTGTAATTTTGACATCAATGCGTATTTAAAAATTAATATAGATGTTCATTTGACATAATTATTTTATCCATCCAATGAAAGAAGCTTATGGCTAATGCATTTTGGCTGTTTTTAGTACTTTAATTTGAAAGGGGTATCTGACATTATGCTGCCATATTTGAACACAAATATGACTATTATTAATTCTAAAAAGGATGCAGTAAAGGCATAATTAACTATAACATTCACACAAAAATGATTAATCTTTATTGACTGAACCAAACTAGTCACTGATTTTACTATAAAATTTCAGTTTTTAAAAATTTATCCACTAGGAGTCTTTCTTTATGTGGGTCAGTGACTGGATATGGGAGAACTTTGATGTATTCTTATTGATGCCATGATCATTTAGTTTCTATGGTTTGAATGTTTGCCATTAAATTATAAAGCCCTTTTCAGTTCCTATTCATGTAATGCAAAGGAACTCTAGTAATCACTCTTGTGTGTGTGTGGGTGTGGGTGCGTGTGTGGGTGTGTAGACATTAAAAGTTTAATTTTACATGCGTCAGCAAAATTTTTCTGACATTTTGTTTTTACATTGCAATGATGTCAAACACGAAGAGAAAACATGAAGTTCTTAGTGTTAGTGTTCTGGTCAGTTAGTGGTTTGAACAATTATAAAATATTACTCAATCGTATGTCCTATTGAAATATGAGTATGAATTTATATGTAATAATATATGTCTTAACCATCTAAATTAGGACCAAAAAAAAAAGATTCAATTCCCGTACACATTGGCAGTTCTTTATTTTGCAATTTTTTTTGAAAAATTTTCTCATTGGAAAGGACATACATGTAAGACAAATAAACATTTCTTAAATACAATAAATTGTTTTCAATTTAAAACAATTAACTACAAGTGCATTTTTCAATTTAAGTCATGTAACTTACATCGCTATTTTCCTGCATAGGAACGTTGACGTCTACTCTGGTTTCATGGTGCCTTTCCTTCTGTACACTTCAACTTTTACCCCCTCCATGTTTTTTGTTTAAAATACAGTGTTGAAACAGCTTTCGTAGTATTTGTTGGCTGCATCAGATGAACTCTAACTGTATTGGGACCTGCCATAAGCCACTGCATTTCAGTTCTAGTGATTTGGACGATACAGAAGCAGGCTGGTTCCCCCAGGACATTTTTTCTCCTAGAAACTTTCCCCCCTCTGACATTTTCCCCCACCCAAGGACAATTTCCCCCTCCCCCCTTACATCATGCGTTAAATAAAACAAGAATTTGAATACAAGGAATACATCAAGATTTATCATTCATAGGAAGTTCTTACATGTGCTCTTTGTAGTTATTATATTTTTATTATTGTTATTATTATCATTAATTTATTATCCATGCAGAATAAATAAGGTTCTTACATTTGCTCTTTGTAGTTATTATATTTTTATTATTGTTATTATTATTATCATTAATTTATTATCCATGCAGAATAAATAAGGTTATTACACTCTTTATTGTTATTAATTTATTATTATTATTATTATTATTATTATTATTATTATTATTATTATTATGTTACTAAAACCTACCTTAAGGTGAACTTAGACAATGGAGAAATTAGAGAACAATTAAAAAAATGATGTTAAGGGGAAAATAACACAAAAGGTATTAATAATAATAATAATAATAATAATAATAGTAATAATAATAACAATAATAACAATAATGATGATGATGATGATGATGATGATGATGATGATTGAATTATAAAAAAAGAAATTGAACACTGAATCAAATTCAAATGGATTATATTCAATTGTATAAAAGAATTGTTTAAACTTGGTTCCAGTTGCTAAAACACTTACTGTAACTAAATTATTGATTCTGTCATTTAGAAACAGAACACAGAATCAAATTTAAAGGGAATATATTCAATTCTATTAAAGAAAAGTTTAAATTTGGTTCCAGTTCCCCCTTACATCATGTGTTAAATAAAACAAAAATTTGAATACAGGAATACATAAAGATTGATCATTCTTTTATATTATATTTTTATTAAATCAGTTGCAAAAGTAACAACAGTATTTACATGGAAATATTTATACATTATTATTATTATTGTTGTTATTATCATTGAATTATTATCCATGCAGAATAAACAAAGTTCTTACATTTGCTCTTTGTAGTTATTATATTTTTATTATTGTTATTATTATCATTAATTTATTATCCATGCAGAATAAATAAGGTTCTTACACTCTTTATAGTTATTAATTTATTATTATTATTATTATTATTATTATGTTACTAAAACCTACCTTAAGGTGAACTTAGACAATGGAGAAATTAGAGAACAATTAAAAAAATGATGTTAAGGGGAGAATAACACAAAAGGTATTAATAATAATAATAATAATAATAATAATAGTAATAATAATAACAATAATAACAATAATGATGATGATGATGATGATGATGATTGAATAATAAAAAAAAGTATTGAACACTGAATCAAATTCAAATGGATTATATTCAATTGTATAAAAGAATTGTTTAAACTTGGTTCCAGTTGCTAAAACACTTACTGTAACTAAATTATTGATTCAGTCATTTAGAAACAGAACACAGAATCAAATTTAAAGGGAATATATTCAATTCTATTAAAGAAAAGTTTAAATTTGGTTCCAGTTCCCCCTTACATCATGTGTTAAATAAAACAAAAATTTGAATACAGGAATACATAAAGATTGATCATTCTTTTATATTATATCTTTATTAAATCAGTTGCACAAGTAACAACAGTATTTACATGGAAAATATTTATACATTATTATTATTATTGTTGTTATTATCATTGAATTATTATCCATGCAGAATAAACAAAGTTCTTACATTTGCTCTTTGTAGTTATTATATTTTTTATTATTGTTATTATTATCATTAATTTATTATCCATAATAAATAAGGTTCTTACACTCTTTATAGTTATTAATTTATTATTATTATTATTATTATTATTATTATTATTATTATTATTATTATTATTATTATTATTACTATGTTACTAAAACCTACCTTAAGGGGAAATTGAACACTGAATCAAATTCAAATGGAATATATTCAATTGGATAAAAGAATTGTTTAAATTTGGTTCCAGTTGCTAAAACACTTACTGTAACTAAATTATTGATTCACTCATTTAGAAACAGAACACAGAATCAAATTTAAATGGAATATATTCAATTCTATAAAAGAAATATTTAACACACTTAACTACATTAATGATTCATTTGGTTCCAGTTGCTAATATATATATTCAGTTCTATAAAAGAAATGTTTAGATTTGGTTCCAGTTGCCGAAAAACTTAACCACATAAAAGATGCATTTGGTTCCAGTTGCTAAAAAAACTTTGTGAAGACCACTTGCAGTTTTGGCCTTTGTTTTTCAAGGTTTTTCGGATTTGATCTAATTCTGATGATTTTGTAGACCACTGTTTAGACATGGTCTCCATTAGTATTAATTATCTAAGAAGCAGTTTGTTGAACATTGGGTAATATTACTGGTGCATGATTATTTTCTCTGTTACATTCTTGGAGAAAGTAAATACACTTTCCTGATATGAAAGAAAAAATTCAAGCATGTCTTTTTTTAGTAAAATCTGCTGGTACCCACTGATACAGCTAGGTAGACTAAAGCAATGTAGATACGTGCTCAAGCACACAAGCGAAATGCACAACAAAGGATTGAAGCCCAGAACTCGAGGTTTGGAAACCAAACCATTCTCACTGTCTCAAACCGCTTCCACACGTTTGTACATCTGCTAATAAGAGGATAAAAAAAAATGTAAATATTTAATGTATAAGCATTCAAATATTTAATTTAAGGTATTCAGTGCTACCTGGGCTTGGTAAGTGATAGGTAGCCAGCTATGCCTCCTCTTTACCTACTAGCCTACACAGTGACATATCTAGGAGTCGATATGTAGGGGCTGATGGGGGTGCGAATGTTAAGTTGGGGGGTGGTAGTTAGAAAATAAGGTGATATGACGAGGTGATTTTTTATTGAGCATTGTTATTTTCCTTGGCTTGAACTGTGTATTTAGCTAATAATTCAATAGCATCATCAGTATATAATTTTTACATTAACAGGTTGAACAGCAGAATGATGATGTGTTATCTATGTTGGAAAATTGGTTTTGTCTGATTGATTCTAGTCCTCTGGATATCATCTTGTCAATATGCCAACAACCTTTCCAAGAGCTCCGTTGTCCAGCGCTAGCAATCATAAATGCCATTGCCAATCAGAGTTGGGGTCAAGCATTGCTTAATTTGCAGCCTGGTTTCAAGGAGTACCTGCTGGACAGGTCAACAGAAAATGAAAAATCTGGAAAGGTGGCAAAATATAAAATTGTAGAAACTTTAGTGGAGACTTCGACAACTTGCTCATATTTTGGATCGCCATATTATATCAAGCTAAAAAAATTCAAAAATGAAGGACCATTTTATGTACAGACTGAAACTGAAGTTGCAGTTCAGAGGGAGTGATATCAGAAGGTAGAACATTGATTGTTTTTTTTTTATTGTATAAATTACCCATCTCAACACTCCTCTTGGTAGGAGTAAAGCTACGTTCACATCAAGCCCGGATTCCGGTCCGGAGAAAAAATCGTGAAAAATGGGTTCAGTGGTAAAGAATGGGACCGTTCACATCAAATTTGTATGATTTTCAATCCGGACTCCGGATCTGTACTGATGGATCTGAGAGCCATTTGTATCCTGAAATCGTACGTTTTATTTTCTTGGACCAATGAGCAACAAGCTTGGTTGGTTCAAACCAATCAAACGCATACATACTTAACGCGAAGAACCGTGTTCCGTGTGCGATGTGAACGCAGCGTTCAAAAAACTTAGCAACTCACGATTTTTTGACTGGGCTCCGGACCGTATCCAGGCTTAATGTGAACGTAGCTTTAGACCTGGCTGAGTTTGAACCAGGGTCTTCAGAAGCAGGAACAATATATCTCGCTCAAGTGCTCATCTCAATTAATACAGTGGAAAAACTGGTAAATTGAAACTGAAGATTCCGTCATAAAATATATAACGATCGATCCATTTTTTTTACATGCTCCTCATAAAGTGTTATGGAAAAGTATGTAAAAATTGTACCAAAAATAGTACTTTTGGTTTGTATTAAGAGTGTCATTTGAAAAAGTGGCAAGGACCATCATCATTGTCATATTATCGTCAACAATGTAATGATCACCGGTGTAACGTTGGAGCCAGAATTCCCTGTGGCATCATATGACGATGGGGTGGGGGCTTGTGAGTCTGACACTGCTCTTAGACACTAGAGCCATTTTCGGCTTGTTGGTAACATGCAATATGAGAGACACATTGTATATCAACAAATATAATACAAAATCAAGGCTTTATGATTAAACAAATACTCTAATGAAGTTTATTGTCTAGGTTTTCAATTTAAAAAATTGAGATTGATGGTCTTGTGAATAAGTTAAAAATAAATGAGAAACATACCATGTTATGGTAATCTTTTTTCTGCTTTTTTATTTACCAAGATAGGCTTAATAATTTTTCTTTAAAAAGAACATCAAAGAATGTTATTTATTATTTCAAAGAGTTGTTACCAAGCCTAATCATAATGTGAAAGGTTTAAATGCATATTTAATATACATTAAAAACAATTGTATGTTCTTTAAAACCATTATTTTAAATTCCGATTTCTGTGTTATCAACTACCTAAGCCAGAAACATGTTTTAAATATACCACTTTTCACTACAGTTTCTGAATAAAAATTCACCTGAAATTACAAAATTCTTTAATTTATCTTTGTAGCCTACAACTCTTGTTTCTGCTTTATAATATGCAAACTATGAGTTAACACATTAGATTCCAGATTCACTTTTCATTCTTAATCCCCGTTTAGAAAACTAACACTTTCAAGTTGCCATATAGTATATTTTTTAACATAAAGCTGTGATAAAGCATTACAAAAGCAAACCAATGCACATGCCACACTTTAATTGCACTTTTGTTTATCTGTAATTTAATTTTGTTTGTAATAAATAATTCTTTCACAATCTTTTTATTACCTTCAAATCCAACAGCAAGTATACACTCGCCACTTACAAGATGGAATGATGTTTTATATAGTCTCTCTATGAGACTTATGAAGTAGAGCCATTTTCAGTCATGGGAAAAAGTCCAGCTGTGACAAATTAAACCCAGGGCCCTGGGTTTAAGGCATCTTAACTCCAAACTCTACAACTCAGAAGTGATCTGAAAAGATTAAGCAACCCATCTAAATTGTTTCCGCGACTCAAGAAAAGTGCTTTTTCGTAATTTTCAGAAAAGCCAAACACTGAAATGAACAAAAGTAACAGTCTCAATTTGTCCTATGTTTGCATCAATTGACAATTGCCTGTTATGCCCTAATATCTAATAGCATACAATAACATTACAAGATCTGTTGTTGATTGAAATTTATTTCATAATGGCTTGTATAGGCCTACATTGTACAATGTAAGCCTATATATATCAATAATTTTCACTTGTATTTATAACAGGATAGCAGCCTATTTTATCATAATAGTTTTGTACATGATACTGAATATTGAAATACATTCAAGCAGAGAGATCTTATACAGTACAGTACTGCATTAAAACTGGCTTTTATCTTTTGGTATAAAATGGATACAGTGGATACGTATAATGATGCTCAAATAAACGGCCCTTAATTTAAATGTGGAACTACAACAATTACTGTCAAAATGTGTATTATATGATCATAAAGACTTATTGATCCTAACCAGGTTGGAAAAAATGTACTCAATGTTTTCAAACAATCATACTTATTTTCCTTGTCATACCAAAAAAAAATTTGTTTCGATTTTTATTTACTTAATGAAGTACACAAGACTTTTGATGTCGTGTGCTGAATGTTCAATTTTATAATGTGGAGGAATGAGTGATCCAGTGATTCGAAATACACTATGGGTCCCGGGAAAGTCTTTCACATAGGGTGTTAATACCATCTCAGTCCCACCATGGTTTGGGCTGAGATTTTATGATTACGGGACCTCTACATGGCCGGAAATGGCGGGGCGCCACATTGTTTGAATTCCCACCATGCATTTCGGTGGAACACTTTTTTTCTGTGGAGAACTTATCTTGTATTTTAAGTATCTTTGCTATTAACTGTATATGGTCACGAAGTGATTGTCATAATGACCATATTTAGCCATGTCACATGTTTTTGTCAAACAAAATTTGATAATCTGGACAGGGCTTAGGCCTAAGTCTTGATAAAAAATGACCGATTTTAGCAGGATTAACCACCAAGTTGCAGCTGCTTCCAATGATATTAGAATAAGCCTAGAGGCGTATTAAATTGACTACTGTAATTGTAAATTCAACATGTAAGGGAGGGTGAGGATTGGAGTGGGAGCAACGGGCACCCTGTGATCCTCTTGAAAAAATGAGTTCTGTAAATCCATTTATTTATAATCCTACCACAAGAATTCTAAGTCCGAAGTGTGGAACCAATCTAACCAATCAGAAGAGTGCCAGGTATACGCGGGTGCCCAACAAACAGGTACGTACCTGTTGTCCCACAAACGCCCATGTTTACGTAAATTTACGCTATGGTTTTGTGGGACCTTAGCGACAATGTCGGGGGGGGGGGGGGGGGGGACAGAG